GCACCCCCGGGCTCCGCACTCCTAGACGCAGCACCCCCAGACGCAGCACCTCGAGCAGCACCTGAGCCGACAGCTATCTCAACTGGCACAATACCAGGGAAAGGGTCTACTTGAGACACACCTGAGGGAGCAGGACCCTAGGGGGGGAGGGGGTCTACCGGAGGGGGACCTGGAGCAAGGAAGAGCGGCGGGGGTGGGGGAGGGGCAGAGCGGTAGGGGAAGAGACGGTAAAAGGGAAACAACTCATCAAACGTGACGTCCTGAGAGGGGAAGACATGGCGCGAGGTGGGGTGGTAAAACTGCCAGCCAGGCACGTCAGGGGGAAAGCCAAGGAAGACGCAGGGAATAGCGCGGGCGGAGAGCTTGTCCGCGGACGTATCGCGAACAAAGGCACGAGAGACCCAGACGCGGAACACCGACAAATCGCCAACCTCCCCCGTCCAACGCAGTGTCGGCGAGGTCTTGGGCAAGGAGACACGGGGCCAGAGGTTGAGCTGATGCGTAGCGTACCGGACCGCAAACGGCCACAGAAAATGGGGAGTAGCCGCATGGATCATGGAGGTACGAGCAACCTCCATGACTAAGCCAATGCGGCGCTCAGCAATCCCATTAGGAGAATGCCCTCCCCACGAAAAAAGTACCGCAAGAGGTTGGAGGAGAACTCACCACCTCTGTCAGAGTGCAGACGCAGGACACGAAGGTCCTGGCGGAACCGCTCGCGGAGCTGGAGATAGACTGCGTGGATCCAAGGGATCAAAACATCAGGGACATCACCCTTGCTGCGCAAGGGGAAGACCGTGGTGTAGAGCATGTAGTCATCAACAACCAGCAGAAAGTAGCGCTCGCGGCCCTGTCCAGTGACGCGAGGTGGGCCCCACACGTCCATGTGGAGAGTCTGCAGGGGAGCAGTCGTCGGGGAAACGAGGAGGAGTGAGGTGCGGCGCGCTGCCGCCCCTCGATGCAAGGAAGGCAGGGTGGGGCAGGCGAGGGCAGGAAGGATAGCATCAAAATCAAGATCAAAGATAGCTACACCCGACTTGAGCAGATCACCCCAGCGAGGGATCTCAGTGGCGTCAGGGAACTGGGTACGCCAGGCGTCTGTCAGGCGGCCGAAGCAGCGCTGGGTGGCGTGCGGCCCGCCGCACGGCTCCCCAGTGCGGTCGCCGGTGCGCAGGACGTAGGCACAGGGACCAGCACCCCCAGACCGCTGGCGCCCTGCGTACCACTCACGAAGCTGCTGGGGCGACGGGGTCTCACGAGAGCGCGGCTGGTGCTGGGGTCCCCGCTGCACAGCTCCGCCTCGACCAGCTCCACCTCCGCCGCCGCCGCCGCCGCCTCCACCCCCACCGCCACCGCCGCCGCCGCCTCCACCTCCACCGCCGCCACTGAAGCCCCCACCCCCGCCACCACTCCCACCCCCACCCCCACCTCCGCCTCCACCGCCACCACCGCCGCCCCCGCCAACTCCTCCAGCGCCCTTGCCCCCCTTGCCCTTGCCGTTGCGGCACTTCCCGCTAGGAGCAGACGCAGCGCCGACCGACTCGGTGCCAACGAGGTCGACAGCAGCAGCAGAGGCAACAGAGGGCAAAAGGGGAATGGGGGAGCACCCTTCAAAGAAAGGGGTACGGGGGTCACCACGAGAGGCTCCTACAGCGGTAATACTCTTCTCGGCTGCAAGGAGGCGCTCCTCGAGGAGGTCAACGGTGAGTGTGGTGGGGCAAAGAGAGAGGAAGTGGTCCCTGACGGAGCGAAGGGTGTCAGGGAGCCGGGTGACTAGGTAGTAGAGGGTGATGTACATGGGGGGGGGGGTTCTTGGCGCAGAACTCAGCAGGAAGCACAGCGCGGTAGCGGGTGTCACTAGTGCGGAGGTGCCAATGAGGTCAGCGACTGTGGCAAAGGCGGCGAGGTCAGGGAACAGGTACGGCAGCATGAGGCGGCTAAGGGCAGCAGTGGCAGGGGAGGAGTAGCGTGCAACTACAGCGTCGTACAGGGTCTTAGCACTCTTGTACTGACTAAAGTGCGCGCGCTCAGAGGACGGCAGGTGACGACGCACAGCAAGGCGGGCAGCAGCATCGCGTGTGGTCCACTGTGAGCGAACAGTACTGTCAGAATCGGCAGCAGGGGCAGCAGAGGCGCCAGACGTGAGATCGAACAGTGAGATACCGTCCTTGCTATCGCACTGCAGGAAAAGCTGCAGATCATTGACCCAGACCTCAAAATCGACCGCTCGACCCTCAACATCGAAGGTAAGCACATTGGGACTGGCCATGACAGCAGCAGCAGCAGGCTAGCAGCAGCAGCGGCAGCGCGACTCGGCTAAACGGCGCGGCTCGGCAGGGCGGTTCGGCAGGGCGGCGACGCGCTTACCAGGGGTCGGTGGGTAGGGTGGCCGCCACTGGAGGGGCAGGGCCGTGGTGCTCCGGTAGGGTCGAGGCCGTAACTGGGCGGAAGAGCAGGACCGCGGCTCGGCTGCAAGGCAGGGCCGGGGCAGCAGCGACGGCGGCGGCGGCTCACCACACCGGCGGCGGTAAGCTCGGTGGCGGCGGCAGGGACAGCAGCTGCTGCAGGGCTCCCGGCGGCTGCTGCAGTTGGAGGCCGCGACCGGCGAGAGGGGCAGGGCGGGGCCGCAACGGCGGGTCGACGCCCAAGGCAGGGCGGGCCGCGACGGGCGACGGGGACGCGACAGGCGACGGGGCGGGGCCGGGGCGAGGCCGCGACGGGGCCGCAAAGGGGGGGGGGGGCGCGAAGGAGCCGCGACGGGGCCGGGGCGGGGCCGCGAAGGAGGGGGCCGCGAAGTGGCCGGGGTGGGGCCGCGAAGGGGTTGCGACGGGGTTGCGAAGGGGCCACGAAGGGGCCACGAAGGGCCGCGACGGGCAGCAGGAGTAGGGCAGGGCCGCAACAGCGGCAGCAGGGCAGAGCACGAAATGCGCTTCGGGCAGGGCAGGAAAAAAAAAATTATCGAAGTGGTGGGCCCTAGGAAAAAAACGGTCCCACTAGGGAACCCGCTCTATACCATGTGAAGAAATGAGGAATGAATTGAACTAGGACAAGGTTGGGTGCAAGTAGGAAACCCTAGAAAAGTGTACCCCTTAGTGTCTACCCCACTATAGCCTAGACAAGCTATATGATAAATGCTTGACACCACCTGGCTTCACTGAGTCTTTTCATGCAGGTACTCAATGGAGCCTTCGGCGGCCAGTCTACGGTCTCCACCAGGCGCCTCGCGGGTGGCACGACACACTTGCGGCTCTTGGGTTTGCTCCTGCTACTGCTGACCCGTCGCTGTTTCTACGCACAGACACCTCGCTGCCGCCGTTCTACGTTCTTGTCTATGTCGACGACCTCGTCTTCGCCACTGCTGACACTGAGGCACTGACCCTTGTGAACTCGGAGCTGCAGAAGAGGCATAACTGCACTCACCTGGGTGAACTGCGCAGCTATCTTGGCTTGCAGATCACCCGGGACAGAGAACGGCGCACCATCACCCTGACTCACTCACACATGGTGCACCAGGTCCTTCAGTGCTTCGTATTCCAGTTCTCCTCGCCACAGCCCACTCCTCTGTCTACCAGCCACTCGCTCTCTGCTCCACCTTCGGACGAGTCCGTAGAGCCGAGTGGTCCGTACCCAGAGCTTGTGGGTTGCCTCATGTACCTGATGACGTGCACACGACCTGACCTCGCGTACCCTCTCAGCCTCCTGGCTCGCTACGTGGCTCCCGGTAGGCACCGAAAGGTGCACTGGGATGCTGCGAAGAGGGTACTGCGGTACTTGTGCAGTACATCGGGCATGGGGCTCCTGCTTGGAGGACGGGGTCCAGTTGTCCTCACCGGTCACGCAGACGCTTCCTGGGTTGATGACTCAGCTACGCAGTGGTCGTCACAGGGTTACACCTTCAGCCTTGGTTCTGGCTCTGTTTCCTGGCAGTCTACCCGCTCGTCTTCAGTTCTCAGCTCCAGTTGTGAGGCTGAGATCTACGCCGGGGCCATGGCTGCACAGGAGCTACGCTGGCTCACCTACCTGGTGACTGGCTTGGGAGAGCAGCCTCGTTCGCCTCCAGTTCTGTACGTAGACAACAAGGCCATGATTGCCTTGTGTCAGGAGCACAGACTGGAGCACAGAACGAAGCACATCGCTCTGCGATACTTCCTTGCTCGAGAGTTGCAGTAGCGTGGCCAGCTTCGTCTTGCGTACATGGCCACTAGGGCCAACACTGCTGATATATTCACCAATGCACTTCTGCCTGGTGATTATCAGCGCTTCTCTTCTGTGTTAGGCCTTGTGCCTACTGTCAAAACATATATGCTTAGTTGTATCTAGGCTGTATGGGGGCTAGCTCTAGGGGGTACAGAAATCATCTCGACATTCTACTTGTACCCCCCCCCTTTCTCCTAATCCACCCATTCTCGTCATTCTCACTTTTCTCGCCTACTATTCAAACATGGTATTAAGAGCAATAGTTCCTAGGACCTCACATTAATGGGCCCACCACCTAATGCCCTGCTAGCCTAGGCCCCGGCCCGTCGCCCCTTGGCGTCGCCCCTAGTCCCTAGGCTCGGCCCCTTGGCCCCGTCACCCCTAGCTCGGCCCCTCGGCCCCGCTGGCCCCGTCGATTCCGTCGCCCGCGCCCGGCCCGTACCTAGCCTGCAATCGGCCCGTACCTAGCCCGTGCCCGGCCCTGTCTCGCGCCCGCGCCCGGCCCGTACCTTGCCCGCGATCGGCCCGTTCCTAGCCCCGCGCCCAGCCCGTACCTAGCCCACGACAGGCCCGTACCTATCCCGCGCCCGGCCACGTCTCTCGCCCGCGCCCGGCCCGTACCTAGCCCGTCGCTCGGCCCGTACCTAGCCCGTCGCCTGGCCCATACCTAGCCCGCGCCCGGCCCCGTCTCCTGCCCGCGCCCGGCCCGTACCTAGCCCGTCGCCCGGCCCGTTCCTAGCCCTGCGCCCGGCCCGTCTATCGCCCGTGTCCGGGCCCGTACCTAGCCCCGCCAGGCCCTGTACCTAGCCCCGCCAGGCCCCGTACCTGCCCGGCGCCCGGCCCCGTACCTGCCCAGCGCCCGGCCCCGTACCTGCCCAGCGCCCGGCCCCGTACCTGCCCAGCGCCCGGCCCAGTACCTGCCCAGCGTCCGTGCCCAGCACCCGGCCCCGTACCTGCCTAGCGCCCGGCCCCGTACCTGCCCAGCGCCCGGCCCTGTACCTGCCCAGCGCCCGGCCCCGTACCTGCCCAGCGCCCGGCCCTGTAACTGCCCAGCGACCGGCCCCCCTTCCTGCCCAGTGCCCGGCCCCGTACCTGCCCAGAGCCCGGCCCCGTACCTGCCCAACGCCCGGCCCCGTACCTAGCCATGGCCCCGTCGCCCCTAGCCATGGCCCCTCACGACCTGCCGCCCCTAACCGCGGTCCCGGTGCCTTGTTGCAACATGGTGGGTGAAGGGGTGGCAAGAGGGGGTTCCTCCTGCCCGCGTGCCCTACAGTTACACGCGCAGCTCCGCCCCCGCCCCCCTCCCCCCCCTCCCCCCCCTCCATGGGGATGGCGGGGAGAGGGTGTGAGGGGGTGGCGGATGTGCCTCAGCAGCAGCAGCTGCCGCCACACCTCCTCCTCTCTCTCTCCCTGCCGCACCTTGTGGTGGGAGAGTGGGGGGAGCTTGGAGGTTCAGGGGGAGGCAGGAGGGGATCTGCAGCACCAGCCCCCCCCCCGCCCCCCCCCCCCCCCCCCCCCCCCCCCCTTTCTCCTCCATCTCTCTGCTGCGGGTGCAGCAGTGGGGGGAGGGTATGGGGGTGGCGGGTGTGGCCAACCTGCTGTCGCCCGAGCGGCTCCTGCACCGCCCCTTCTCCTACCTCCCCCCTGCTGCGGGTGCAGCAGTGGGGGGGGAGGGGACCTGCAGCACCAGCTCCCCCCCCCCCCCCCTTTTCTCCTCCACCCCTGCTGCGGGTGCAGCAGTGGGGGGAGGGTATGGGGGTGGCGGGTGTGGCCAACCTGCTGTCGCCCGAGCGGCTCCTGCACCGCCCCTTCTCCTACCTCCCCCCTGCTGCGGGTGCAGCAGTGGGGGGAGGGGATCTGCAGCAGCAGTGGGGGGAGGGGAGTTGCAGCATCCCCCCCCCCCCCCCCCCCCCCAGCCCCCCCCCCCCCACTTCTCCTCCATCCCCCTGCGCGCCCCGCGCGCCCTGCTGCCCTGCAGCCCTGCAGCCCTGCTCCCCTGCAGCCCTGTGCGCCCTGCTGCCCTGCTGCTGCCGCTACAGCCCTTGCTGCTGCCCTGCGCGCCCCGCGCGCCCTGCAGCCCTGCTGCGCCCCGCGCGCCTTGCTGCCCTGCTGCCCTGTGCGCCCCGCGCGCCCTGCAGCCCTGCGCGCCCTGCGCGCCCTGCTGTCCTGCTGCCCTGCGCGCACTGCAGCCCTGCGCGCCCCGCGCGCCCTGCTGCCCTGCTGCCCTGTGCGCCCCGCGCGCCCTGCAGCCCTGCGCGCCCCGCGCGCCCTGCTGCCCTGCAGCCCTGTGCGCCCTGCTGCCCTGCAGCCCTGTGCGCCCTGCTGCTGCCGCTACAGCCCTTGCTGTTGCCGCTACAGCTTTTGCTGCTGCCCTGCGCGTCCCGCGCGCCCTGCAGCCCTGCTGCGCCCCGCGCGCCTTGCTGCCCTGCTGCCCTCTGCGCCCCGCGCGCCCTGCAGCCCTGCGCGCCCTGCGTGCCCTGCTGTCCTGCTGCCCTGCGCGCCCTGCGCGCACTGCAGCCCTGCGCGCCCTGCGCGCCCTGCTGCCCTGCTGCCCTGTGCGCCCCGCGCGCCCTGCAGCCCTGCGCGCCCCGCGCGCCCTGCTGCCCTGCAGCCCTGTGCGCCCTGCTGCCCTGCAGCCCTGTGCGCCCTGCTGCCCTGCAGCCCTGTGCGCCCTGCTGCCCTGCTGCTGCCGCTACTGCCCTTGCTGTTGCCGCTACAGCCCTTGCTGCTGCCCTGCGTGCCCCGCGCGCCCTGCAGCCCTGCTGCGCCCCGTGCGCCCTGCAGCCCTGCGCGCCCTGCTGTCCTGCTGCCCTGCGCGCCCTGCGCGCACTGCAGCCCTGCGCGCCCCGCGCGCCCTGCTGCCCTGCGGCCCGGTGCGCCCTGCTGCCCTGCAGCCCTGTGCGCCCTGCTGCCCTGTTTGCCCCGCGCGCCCTGCTGCCCTGCAGCCCTGTGCGCCCCGCGCGCCCTGCTGCCCTGCTGCCCTGTGCGCCCTGCTGCCCTGTGCGCCCCGCGCGCCTTGCAGCCCTGCGCGCTCCGCGCGCCCTGCTGCCCTGCAGCCCTGTGCGCCCTGCTGCCCTGCAGCCCTGTGCGCCCTGCTGCCCTGCTGCCCTGTGCGCCCCGCGCGCCCTGCAGCCCTGTGCGCCCCGCGCGCCCTGCTGCCCTGCTGCCCTGTGCGCCCCGCGCGCCCTGCAGCCCTGTGCGCCCCGCGCGCCCTGCTGCCCTGCTGCCCTGTGCGCCCTGCTGACCTGTGCGCCCCGTGCGCCTTGCTGCCCTCTGCACGCGCCATGCACAGCCCTCCCCCCCCCCCCGCCCCAACCTCCCCCCCCCCCCCCCCCCCTCCCTTCTCCTACCTCCCCCTGCTGCGGGTGCAGCAGTGAGGGGGAGGGGATCTGCTGCACCAGCTCCCCCCCCCCCCTTTCCTCATCCTCTACTGCAGGTGCAGCAGTGGGGTGGGGGTATGGGGGTGGCGGGTGTGGGTGCAACTGCGGGGTGGCGGGTATGGGGGTGGCGGGTGTGTGAACCATCCCCTCCTCCTCCTCCAACTTCGTCTCCCACTGCTGCAGCTGCCGCTGAGGGGGGTGGGTGTGTGGGTGACGTGGGAGTGGTTCTAGGGGGGGTGACGTGGGAGTGGAGCTGGGGGTGCAGCAAGGGGTGTGTGAAAGGGGGGTGGGACAGTTGGGGGAGGTTGAGCGGAAGCTGCCGTCTTGTCGTCCGCAGCACCTGTAGTCCGGGGCTCTGCTTCTGGTAGCTCAGAGAGCCTGCTGCGCCTATCGCCTGTGGGTCTGTTGCTCCTGTCGCTCAGAGTTAGCCGCAGAGCCAGTTACTCCTGTAGTCTGGGGATACGGCTCCGGTAGCCACAGTGCGCGCCGCTCCTGTTGCCCGTGTGTCTGCAGCATCAGCCGTCGCCTCCTATCTACTCTCCTCTTACAGTCCAGCCTCCTCCTCACTTGCCCTTTGTGAATGCCTCTAGCTTTGCCTGTACTTGTGAACTGGCCTTGTGGCCCTTTGCTTGTGCTCGGACCGTGTGGTGACTTTGTGATCCACCCTGAGCTTGCTTTGCTTTGCTTCTTCTGTTGACTGGTCATGTGACCATTGCTTGGTCTTGCTATCCCCCACTTCGCCTATGGGGGTGTGTCAAAACATATATGCTTAGTTGTATCTAGGCTGTATGGGGGCTAGCTCTAGGGGGTACAGAAATCATCTCGACATTCTACTTGTACCCCCCTCCTTTCTCCTAATCCACCCATTCTCGTCATTCTCACTTTTCTCGCCTACTATTCAAACACCTACTTTGCCTCACTTACCTACTGCTTGACTCTGCTTGTAATCTGATCTATATATATACCTGCATGCTTGCACTTGCTAGGGTATGATCACTGTATTGTTTGTTCTCTTTTATATAACTCTGCATGTGAACTGGCCTTGTGGCCATTTGCTTGTGCTCGGAATGTGTGGTGACTTCATGATCCACCCTGAGCTTGCTTTGCTTTTCTTGACTGGTCTTGTGACCACTTGTTCTCCCCCACTTTGCCTATGGGGGTGTGTCAAACTTATATATAACTTACATTGTGTAGGTTGTAGTGGGGTAGCCCAGAAGGGCTACAACCCAATACTTGTACCCAACTCTTTGCTAGTTCATTCATTATCGTTCATCATTTCTGACACTGCTCAATGCATTCATTCTCTTCACACTGACCGGTACAGGTGCAGAGAGAGGAGTGAGGGTGGTGCTGTCGCAAAAGAAACAGCATGAAGCACCTGAGTCAAGTGTAAAGGTGTGCAAGGCCTCAGGAGGCGCAGTACCAGGGAGAGCAGACTCACTAGCACCTAGAGCAGCAGCCTCTATACATGGGTCAGGCGGCACACACAGGTAACACTCACCCTTAGCACTAACAGACAAGGCATACATGTAGCAAGGATAGCATCATAGTCTAGGTCAAAGATAGCAACTCCAGACCTAAGCAGCTCTGCCCAGCGGGGGCGCTCGGCCTCGTCACCAAACTCTGCGCGCCAATTGCGTGGAGGCGGGAGAAGCAGCGGTGCTGAGTGTGAGGCTTCCCGCATGTTTGACCAGCAAGGTCACCCGTGCGAATGACATACGGGCAGCTACCACTACCCCCAGACGCCCCACGCTGAGTAAACCACTCACGAAGCTGCTAGGGCGACGGGGTCTCGCTCCGACGCTGCTACTGTTGCCTCTGGCCACGGCCAGAACCTCCACGCTGAGTAGCTCCAGCCCGACCGCCACAACTCCCACTGCCGCCACTACCGCCACCCCCACCGCTGCCACCACCGCCTCCACCAAAGCCCCCACTCCCGCCACCACTCCCACTACCGCCACCACCTCCACTGCCTCCACCACCTCCACTGCTGCCCCCACCACCACCCCCGCTGCCACCGCCCCCACCCCTGCCACCCTTGCCCTTGGTGCTGCGGCGCTTCCCACTAGCAGAAGCAGCCCCGACGTCCTCAGCACCAAGGACGTCAACAGCAACAGCAGAGGCGTAGGAGGGGGCAAGGGGGGAGGGGGAACACCCCTCAAAGAAGGGCGTGCGAAGAGTTCCACGAGCAGCACCTACAGCGACTACACTAGTCTCAGCTGCAAAGAGGTGCTGCTCGAGTAGGTCAATAGTGAGGACTGTAGGTCAACAGTGAGGACTGTAGGGTCAAGTGCGAGGAAGTGGTACCTGACAGAGCGAAGAGAGTCAGGGAGGCGGGTGAATATAAAGTAGAGAGTGATGAACATCGGGGGCTGGTTCCTGTCAAGGAACTCTGCTGGGACGGCAGCGCGGTAGCGAGCGTCGCTAGTGCGGAGGTGGGTAACCAGGTCCTCTACCGTGGCAAAGGCGGACAGCTCGGGAAACAGGTAGAGCAGTAGAAGACGGCCAAGGAGGAGCAGTGGCCAGTGAGGAGTAACGGGCGACTACAGCGTCGTACAGTGCCTGTGCTGTCCTGTGCTGTCCGAAGTGAGCGCATTCGGCTAACGGCAGGTGGTTGCGAATGGCTAAGCGAGCAGCAGCGTCACGAGTAAGCCACTGTGAGCGAGTCGCAGTGTCAGCTGTGGCGGGAGGGGTGGGAGAGGCTCCAGACTTGTGGTCAAACAACGAAACGCTGTCTCTAGAGTCGCTCAGTAGGTACAGCTGCGAGTCGTCTAGCCACGTGTCAAACTGGATCGGGCGGCCCTCATGATCGAACGCGAGAACGCGGAGAGAAGCCATAGCGGCAGAGCACTCAGGGCGGGCAGAGGTCGGGCAGTGCAGGGAACAGGGCTGGCAGCAGCAAGGGGCGGCAAACGGGCTGCAAGAGGCGGTGCGCAGGCTACAAGAGGGGCGGCTCGGGGGCCTAGGGGTGGTCGGCGGGCCTAGGGACGGTGGGCGGGTCGCAAGGGGCGGCGCGTGGGGCTGCAGGGGCTGCGAGAGGGCCGCAAGGGGCTGCTAGCAGGGCAGCAGGGGCGGCTAGAGGGCCACCAAGGGCGGCGCGCGGGGCTGCAAGGGCCGCTCGCGGGCTGCAGGGGCGAGGGGCGGGCCGCAAGGGGCGGCGCGCGGGGCCTGGGGTCGACGGGCGGGCCGAGAAGGGCGGCGCGCGGGGCAGCAGAGGCGACGGGTGGGCCAGGCCTAGGGTCGAAGGGCGGGCCGAGCCTAGGGTCAACGGGCGGGCTAGTGCCTAGGGTCGACGGGCGCGCGGGGCAGCAGGGTCGACGGGCTGGCCGGGCCTAGGGTCGACGGGCGGGCCGGGCCTAGGGTCGACGGGCGGGCCGGGGCCTAGGGTCGACGAGCGGGCCGGGGCCTAGGGTCGACGAGCGGGTGGGGCCTAAAGTCGACGGGCGGGCCGGGCCGGGCCTAGGGTCGAAGGGCGGGCGCGCGGGGCAGCAGGGGCAACGGGCGGGCCGGGGCCTAGGGTCGACTGGCGGGCGGGGCCTAAAGTCGACGGGCAGGCCGGGCCTAGGGTCGACGGGCGGGCCGGGCCTAGGTTTGACGGGTGGGTGCGCGGGGCAGCAGGGGCGACGGGCGGGCCGGGGCCTAGGGTCGACGGGCGCGCGGGGCCGAGGGTCGACGGGTGGGCCGCAAGGGGCGGGCTCGCGGGGCCTAGGGTTGACGGGCGGGCCACAAGAGGGCGGCGCGCGGGGCAGCAGGTGCGGCACGAGGGCTGCAAAGGGCGGCGCGTGAGCCAGCAGGGCGGCTAGTGGGGCAGCGCTGTGATGGGCCCTAAAAAAAAATCGGTCCTAACGAAGGACCTGCTCTGAAACCATGTCAAAGGAATGAACGAGAATGAATTGCATTGAGCACAAAGTTGGTACATGTACTAACCCTCATTGGGTTGTACCCCTTATGGGCTACCCCACTATAGCCTACACAAAGTAAGCTATATAACATTTTGACATCGACCACAAGGTCGGCTCCGCCCAAGCGAGGACGGGGCCAACACACAAATCCCGTTGAAACTCCCCTGCCGCGTTCAAGCTTGAGCCTCCAGCCCACACGGCAGCAAAACTCAGAAAATAGCTCGTCGCCGTGCACACCACACTCAGCACGCCGTCACCGCACCAGCCATGCAAGAGGGCATGGCACCTAGTGCTGCACGTCGTCGTCACCATCGCCTACGTCGGTCAGGCGCACCTGGCCGATTGCAACGGAGCACTGGTTGAAGGCCGGATGGTGCAGCGCCTTCGTCAGGAAGTCGGCCAGTTGCTTGGTGGTCGGGTTGTAATTCAGTGAAAACTTCCCGCGCTTCACCATGTGTTGCAGCCAGGCAAAGTGTCGCTCCATGTGCTTGAGGTTGCCCTATAGCCCCAAGCCCTCGGCTACCATGATGGCCGACTTGTTGTCCACATGAAGGACGGTCGGCGTCCCGGTGTCCAGCAGCCGGAACACTGCAAGGAGGAAGTGAAGTCAGCGTCCCTCCTTGCTGGCTTCGGTGGCTGCCACGTACCCCGACTCGGTCGACGACAGCGTCGCGCACTTGATGCGCTGGCTTGACCTGGAGACTGTGGCCCCTCCGTAGACGAACACGTAGCCGCCCGTGCTCATCCGGTTCTGCTTGTCGCCGCCGTCGTCGGCGTCCACATAGCCGACCAGCTCCAGCGTCTCTGGTCCATCGCCGAACTCCAGGGTGGTGTCACAGGTATTGGCGAGGTAGGCGAGGCAGCGGTCGACCTCGCGCCAGTGCTGGTTGCTCATCATCGTGAGGCTGCTCCCCAGCTTGCTGCACGCGAAGGCAATGTCCGGCCTCGTTGTTGTCGCTGCGAACTGCAGCGAGCTGACCCTCTGCCGGTACTCCCCCTCATGGCGCTCGTGTGCCTCCTCGTCTTCGAACGTCAGCTCGGCGTAGGCGTTGACGGAGACCGGCGACTTCGGAGTGCGCCCGGTCTGCTCATCGTCGATGAACAGCCTACGCAGCTTGTCGGCGTAGTTCTGCTGGTGCGGCCATAGCTTCCTCGCCGGGCTGTCGTGCACGATCTCCAGCACGAGGTACTTCTCCACTAGCGAGATCTCGCGCAGCTCGAAGGCAGCCCCCAACAGCTCCTTCAGCCCCTACAGCATCACCGTGCTGCTGCTGGCGGCGAGCAGGTCGTCAACGTAGACCAACACCCCGCAAGCCACACCGTCATCGCCGACCTCGAAGTAAAGGGCCTGGTCGACCTGGCTCTTCTTCCAACCTACGTCGACCAACACGTTGTTGAGCGCACAGTCGGATTTCTGCACAGCGGCTTTAAACGTTCATAGCGTTCTGGTTACAGCTGCAAATGACCTGATTCAACTTGGATCTGGAGCGTCTTAACATCGCCTAGAATAGGCAATTAACATCGCACGATTTCATTAAGAATGGATGACACAACGTCGGTTTGAACGAACGGCACTATGGCAGCCACTATAGTCTTAGAACACAAATTAGGAAGAGTTACGAGTTGGGAATGACTCCCAGCTCCTACAAACCCCAAGAGCCGAGGTACAGTGATGGGGAACAGTGCCACACTGTCCCCAACCATGAAGGGTCTCGAAACTACCCTCCACAAGGGCCTACACCAAGAGAAATGTTAGACTACACATTGTAATGTAACTATTCTCACTATCTTGAAGTTAACCCTTTTGGAGAGCTTCGAAATCACTTGAATCTTGAAACCATGGCTCTGGTTATGCAAGATAAATTCTTCCTTGAATTCTTGGAAGTCTGTTGCGCACACCTGCAACATGCCGAACGTTCCAAACACGACAAAATAGAAAACCGCACACGACACGCAAACGACGACGTGACACGCGACTAGCGATAACTCGCTATTGACTCGACACACACATTCAAAATCATGCCTCATCATTCACACAATATTGTAAGCATGAATTATATATTATCTTATGCACTTATACCATTCCATGCACACACGCATGCACGCACATGGACAACAAGCCGAATGCAAACCGTAGGGTTGCACCAACA